AAGCCTTTAAAAAGGGGGGAAACAGAGGAAAAAAATGGAAAAGAAAGTAAAGATAAGGAAATGGAAAGAAAGAAACAAAATCTTACAATTAAAGTTGTTAGCAAACTCAAAAGAAAATTTTTAGAAATAAAACACATTGTATTACTGGTCTATTTTTATTATATTAGATTTAAAGGTTAATTGAGTATTTTGTGTATTCTTCCTTTCTTATACCTTACATAATTTTGTATTAAAACTCTTAGACAAGCTAAAACCAATTAAAGACCTTTTGATTCTTGAAATAATTAGTTAAATTACTGGAGATTTGCATGTTTATGAGTAAGTTATGATAGAATATGTTTCAGAGAATATTTAGTGAATTTTCTCTTTACCTCATTAAATATTTACATTAACTATCTAGCAAATACTTTGTACGTAAAAAGTTAAGTCTTATTAGATTATCAATATGAAAGTTTTTTTCTAGTAATATGTTCGTTGGTTACATGTGTGTATTTCTTGGATTTCTTGAAATGAGATTTAATGAATTCCTATTTTTCTTCTTCTATTGTTAGGAGACAAGCAATGCTTAAGTATGAGGAGTTTAATAAATTATAATTTTTTACTTTATTTATGAGATTTTAACTTAATTTTCTATTGAATTGTTACTTTACCCTTTAAATTGGCTAAGTTTCTCTTAATTTTATTGTATGAAGTGGTAACAATATAGTTTTGTTGAAAAAGATCAAATCATAAAAAAAAAGTTATTGAAATGAGTATAGAATAAGTGAATTATGAAATTAAATTTCAAATTTTACATTTAGAATTTGAATTCAAAATTTGAATTTGAATTTAAAAATAGAATATCATATATTTTTCTATAAATAAGTCATATCTTTTTTATGAATAAATCATAATTTTTAGATGATAAATCATATTTTTTTAAAGTTAAATTATTATATTTTTGGATTTCTATACACTATATAAAGGATCTTACACACTTAATACTAGATACTCAACCAATCCCTCTCTCCTTTCTCTTATCTTTTTTCTCATTACAGAGTTGTGCTTCCATCAAACCAAATCAACTACATGATTTTTTTCTTTCCTTATTATTTGTTATTATGAATGTTTTTGTTTAGTTACCTTTGTTTTCATCTTTATGACTATGTGTAGCTAAATATCTCTTGTCATGGGGGTAAGGTGGATTTTTATGATGTAACATCTTTTGAATCTTTATTTGATCTTATGATGTTGATGTTATTTGTCAATTGTAATTATATTTTTTATGTTATTATTATTCTTAAATTGGTCACTTGAGGATATATATTAGTTAATCAATTAACAGGCAATTGTATCATTAATAGATTAATGGAACTAAGAGATATTTGAGTTTAAGAATTAAGATGATTAATTTATTGCCTAAACTTCTAATCAGTTAATTGAGTTTAACAAATCTAATATTTCTTAATGCACTTATTTATCTTGTTGCTTTCTATGCTCATTATGGTAACATATAAATAAGAAGAATGTCATCATTGCATGATTATTGGATAATAGTAACAATGAATTAGATAATTGATAACAATTTTATCAAAATTGAATAAAATTTAATTGAAGAACATATAGGTAATCACAAGAAGAAACCAAAGTTTCAGGCTTTCATCTACATAAATCAACTTTGTGATTTCTTTGTTTTTTTTATTTTCTTTTTAACTTCTTTTAATTATTTTTCAATCCAAATAACCTCATCAATTATATTACTTAATATTTAAGGAACATTAGTGATAGGCAATTGTGATTATAGTTCATGGGACGACATTGGGAGGGTCTAAAATGCTCCATGTTTATTACAATTGATAGGTACACATGCTCGTTGGTTGATATTTTTTTAAAGAGTTTAAAATACACAATATCTAAAGTCAAGTACTATTCATGGAGCCTTTTTCCTCAATAAATAAAGTATACTCAATGATATTACAATAAAAAAGACAATTAGAAAGTACAATTCTAGAAGAGCCAAAATATCATTAAATGAGCAAAATCTAAATCGAAAAGGATCAAATTGTAGAGATACTTAGAATTCAGACAAAAAGGAACCCTTGACAAAGGAAAGAATGGTACAATCAAAATTTTCATATTTTGTAACAAAGAGAGGCATACAATTGAGATATGTTATTTTAAGCATGAGTTTTTTCCTCAATTTCAAGTTCAAATCAAAGGGAGGAGAAGCAATGGTTGATAATGCAAAAATTGTTGATGACGTATTAGTCCAAGATAAAGATAGAAATAAAAAATGTAAACAAGAGACTAACTTTTAAGCATTATGCATGTGTGCTTGCCATGTACGTTACAAAAGATGAATTTTGACTCATACCATTCAATTAATCAACTAGGTTTTGGTCATTATATTGCACCCTTCGTACTTAAGCAACAAAATAGGTAAAAAACTTAATTTTCATACTTGGATTTAGTAGTGGTGTTAATGATCATGTGTGCAACCCTATCAACCTTTACCAGGCAATTACAATTAAAAGAATCATGGGAATGATTAAATTTTTAAAAGAGTTGGATAATGTTTTTTACATACCATATTTTAAATATAATATATTTTTTCAAATTGACTAATATGCTCAGTTGCAAATTGATTTTTAATCAAGATTCTTGTATCATACAGGACATATGTATATTTATTGAAGATGATTAGGTGTGCTAAGATTCAAAATAATGTGTACATAGTGTTTGGACATAGGAGTATTATCAAACTACAATCAAATACTGTAAACTCAATTTCAAATGATGACTATAATGGATTGAATTCTAATTTTGATCTTTAGCACTACATATTAAGCCATTTGTAAAATTTTTCCTTACGTGAAATATGATCCAAAGCTTATTTTGTGACAATTGTCATTTAGCTAAGCAAGCAAAGTTACCTTTTCTTAATAATAATATTAGAAGAAATAATATCTTTGAATTGATTCATATTAATACGTGTGGACCAATAAGCATAACTTCAATACATAGGCATAGAGTTGTTGTAACTATCATGGATGATTTCAATAGACACACTTGGTTATTTTTTATTAAATCTAAATTTGAAGTAAGAGGTTTGGCTTAAAATTTTATTAATTTAGTTAGGACACAATTTAATAAATGTATTACTCATGCATAAGATGCCCCAACAAAAGTCATTGTTAGAAAGAAAACATAGACATCTTTTAAATGTAACTTGATCAATTTTATTTCAATGCAACCTAGAAAAATTTTATTGGTATTATATTTTCAATCAAGCAATCTATCTCATAAATAGATTATTATCACTTATTTTAAACAACAAAAATTCTTTTAAAATGTTACATAGGAAACCTATTTTTCTTAATTTAAACACTACTATCTTAATTATACATCTACAATTTCTCATAACAAGAGAAAACTTGATCCTAGGGTTATAAATGCATATTTTTGGAGTACAATCAAGAACAAAGGGATTTATCATATTGGATTTGAAATTTAGTAAACTCTTCATTTAATGTAATGCAGTGTTTTACAAATATATATTTCTATAAAAAAAATTATCTAAACATAATAATATCTATTCTGACATGAATGATATTGCTCTTTTTTTTATCATATAATAATCATAATTCAACATCTCCTCATCTATTTTCTAACAGCAATTTTGATCTTGTCAACATTCCAAATAAGAAAATCTAGTCAGATATAATGACTTTTTATCTATATGATTTTCATTGCAATGCCTTAACTTTTAATTTATATTTGACTATGAGATATATTATTAATTCTATCTTATCAAATTATTTCTCTTTCTCAATTTCATCAATGTTATCTCTATCAATTATAAACCAAAGTCTTATAATGAAGCTATTAAATTTCTTCATTAGATTGATGCTATGCAAATTGAGTTTAAAAGCCATGACGACAATAGCACTTTGTCTATTTTCAATTTTCTTCTAAGTAAGCAATCCATTAAATCTAAATGAATTTATAAAATTAAGTATAAATCAAATAGTTTGACATAAAGGTATAAAGCTAAGATGGTTGCTCGTGGTTATAAGCCAAATAAAAGCATAAATTATTCTTATACATTTGCTCTCATTGCTAAAATATCTAATGTGAGACTTCTATTGACATTTGCAACTTTATAAAAATGGTGCTTACAATAACTTGATGTTAATAACATATTCTTCCATAGTTAGATATATGAAAAGGTTTTCATGGAAGTACCTCAAGGTGTCAATGTTGATCAATCTCATTAGGGTAGTGTAAATAAGTTAAAGAGTTTTGTTAACCTCAGCTTTCAAAATTGAGTTTAAACATCCATAAATAAAAAAATTCTATAAAAAAAAGTACACAGTTATTGTATTGAAGTTATAAAAATACAATAAATATTTTTTTTTTAATAAAATTTTACTATTATTAACTGCTTATCCTTAATCTTAAAGGCTGAGTATGACAAAATCTTAAATTAAAAGCTTATAAATTTTTGTTTTAATCAATTATTTTTGTTTTGGTCTACTAAGACATTGTCAAATGTCTTTTTTGATTGGACTATGTCAACTAAGATTTAAAATAATTTATTAAAATATAATAATTAAAATAAAAAATTAATTTGGAGGGATCAAAATAAAAAATTTACTAAAATATAAAGATTAAAAATATATTTAATACTAAATTAAATTAAATTTATAAAAGCATAGATAAATAATTTTATCTATAGTGGCGTATAATATGGAGTCCCTTTTTCAAGTGAACTTAATTTGTATGATTATTTTTCTATAAATAAATAGCAAGTCATTGGCTAATAATAATCAGAGAGGCTGTTGAGTAATTATTATGTTAAGCTTCAACTGGAAAGAAAATAAAGAATCCGTTCGAACTAAAATGGTTGCGAGTGTATGGAGCACAGTGCACACACATTCCTAATTTGTGAAAAAGACTAAAAAGAAATGGCAAGGACGTATTTGGTTCATGCATGCTAGATTTCCGTTACGAAGGTTGGTGATCCCTAACGCGAAGGGATAACGACATGCCGGTAAAGCCGTGGCCACACGCGCGTCACCCCTGCACCGACGCCCAAGGCACGCCTTCCAAAAGGAAAAACGCTTAACGCTTCTTTCTTCGTTTCACCATTCACACACAAATTAAGCAAAAAATCGAATCCACGATTCCTTCAATTTCTGGTCTATCGTATCAATTAGGTAGGAATTGCTATCTTAGAAATTCAGAATCAATCAAAATCGATTGATTGATTCTTGTTCGATGAGGAAACTGTGTCCTAATTTTGACAAAGTAGATGGATTGGAAACGGTGTTGGAGGTGCCTATTCCAGAGGACATGTGGACCAGCATTGGGAACAGTGGTTCCAATCGATGGCAGAATCTTCGAGCTCTCATGAAAGCTCAAATTTCCGCTGATAAATCATCGCATCTCTCTGCTTCCTCCAACCACGAATTCCTCGCATTGCTTAAGCTTGTTGGTTGTCCTCTCATCCCTCTTCAGGTTCAATCCGATCACACCTTAATTCGCCCCCTCAAAGATTCTTCCATCGTAAGCTTCCAATCTCAATCTTAATTAGACTTCACAATTACTATTAACATTAAACTTCTGATTTATTATATGCATCAATTAAAACCTTTAGTTATTTTCTATGGGTAAACTTAATCGTTACACTCGAAGTGATTTTGATATTATTCTATGAATAAATTTAGAATTTTATTTCGATAATATATGCTAACATTTAATATTGAACTCAACGTCAATTACTAAAGGAAAATTGTAATTTTGATTAAATAACAACATAAAAAATACTTATGATTCTAGACTTAAGATTTGTTTATTTTTTAATTAGTTAAAATTTTGATTCGATTGCTATGATATATGGACTAAAATAATTTTTTATTAGTATGTGTGTCAAAATGAATAAATGTTGATATAATTTCTAAAAGTGACACTGTATTGTGTTGATATAGACGAGGGGTAGAAACAGATCCAAACTAAAAGGAGGGAGAATTGATTTTTCAATTATATATAAGGAATGACGCATATTTGTTATTGGATGTGTAGGAAGCTTCAAGTGCCAAATATATAGTGCAGCAGTACATAGCTGCGATTGGAGGAGTGGGAGCGTTGGATTCGTTGAAAAGCATGTATGCAGTGGGACAAGTGAGAATGTTTGGGTCAGAGATGCGTCAAGGGGATGGTGGGGTGAAACCAAGAGGGAGGGCTGAAGTAGGGGGTTTCGTGCTGTGGCAAAAGAACCCTGATTTGTGGCACTTTGAATTGGTTGTTTCTGGTTTCAAGGTTAGTGCAGGTAGTGATGGCAAGGTAGCGTGGAATCAATCTACTTCTCAAACTTGTCATGCCAACAAAGGCCCCCCTAGACCCCTTCGCCGCTTCTTTCAGGTTACAACATAAAAGCATCGAATTTAGCACATAGAATTGGTGTTATTAGTTAACCCGATATTGCACAATGGTAAATTTATTCTTAACCTTTTGATTATCTGTCAATCAATTTATCATAACAATGATCAAATTGAATACCCATTTTTTAAATTAAGTTGGTGCTTAACTCTTTATATGCTCGTTAATCAACAATTGAGTTGTCATCCATTTGATGTGCAAGTGAAAGTTTTGATTTATCATTTAGGCCATAGTTATGCCTATCAAATTCACATTTAAATAAAAAGTTCAGCCTTTTTGGTTATGATATAAAGAGTAACAAGGTGCTACACTAAATGAATCGTATTCCAATTTTACTTAGTATGGTTAAAGCTGTGAAGGGATTTGATCAAGTATTCTTTTTCACTCTCTTCATTTGTTCATTTTGTGATTGTTGTTATCAGGGGCTGGACCCAAGGTGTACAGCTAACTTGTTCATAGACGCTGTATGTGTAGGAGAGAAAACCATTAACAACGAAGATTGTTTTCTACTCAAGTTAGAGACAGCACATGACATACTCCAAGCACAAAACACGTCCCATACAGAAATTATAAGACACACTGTGTGGGGGTACTTTAGCCAACGCACGGGGCTACTAGTCAAATTCGAGGATACCAAGTTGGTAAGGATGAAATCTGTTAATGGAAATGACTCTGTCTTCTGGGAAACAAGCATGGAGTCTGTGATTGAAGACTATAGGTATGTTGGTGGCATTAACATAGCACATGGTGGCAAGACAGTGAACATCTTATATAGGTACGGTATGGCACATAATCACCAGCGGAGAATTGAGGAGACGTGGAGGATAGAAGAGGTTGATTTTAACATTTGTGGCTTGTCCATGGATTGCTTTTTGCCTCCCTCTGATCTTAAGAAGGAACAGGATGGAGTAGAGAAAGTAGTGCAGTAAGAATTAGCATTTTCCTTATCTCTTTTACCCTCATTTTCACCCTCTCAACTTGTCAACAGCAAGAAAATTTGTCGGTGTACATATTACATAGACAAGCATAGCCGAATGAAAGAAGAATAGTTATAGTTTATCCTATTTCTGAAGGTACTTAATTAAATATTTAGCAGGGAGTGACATTAAAATGATAAAATGCATTTAGGATCATTAATCTTTAATTAGCGTAGAAGTTCGAGCTGGACTCGTTTCATATAAGACGAAATAAAATTTTAGCTCAAACTACGCTGTTAATGAGTGGAATACACTGAACTATGAAAATTACAAACAACATTATCTAATGTACTCCTTTTAACACATTCTTTTTATTAATTAAAATTTATTAAAAACTATAAAAATAATATAAATCTCACTTTTTTCCATTCATAATTTAATAATAAATTATTGATGATTTAGGCAAAATGTTACTTGAGTTACTTTGTAGACTTATTACAAACTCTTTTAAAGAAATATAACTAATTTTTAAAAAATATTATCTAATAATCCAATTTCATATTATAATTTGATTCATTATTTTTTTTAAATGAAATATTATATTTATATACTTTTTTTAAGATAAAGTCACTCATTCTTGTTTTGTTATATATGTCAAGAGACTTTTTAATTCATCTTTATATGGTAAATATAAATATATTTTTTTATATTTTAATAAGAGAATTTTTACGAGTTTTTCTTTTATTAAGTCATGTATCTTTCTTCTTTAATGAGTGTCTATTAATTTATTGTTTACTTATAATTGTTTCTTCTTTTCAAAATCATTTTTTTAATTTAACTTCAAATTTAATTTAGTTAAAATTTAAAAAAAATTGATTGTAGATGTTTTTTATAAATGAAATAAAATTGAAAAATTATTATTGATGATCTCTTCCGTTGAACAATAAATCACGATCTAAATCACAAATTGCATCATTAGCATTTCATTTTAAATAAATGCTATTAAAATCAAGCTCTCAACCCGTAAGCAAAAAATTAATAATAATATGTATGTGAGTTTTTATAATTTGTTATTATTTTGTGTTTAATAAAAAAATATTTCAAAAGTAAAAGATTCTAAAAAATCAAAATAATAATTTTTATAGAAAATTTAAAATTTGACCCGTTCAAACTGATTTTTCTATCGCTTTTCACTTGTTTGTTTTACAAATTTTCATCAATTTAGAAATTGGTTAATTTTTAAGTTAATCGGATTGAAATATTGATCGATTTTTTATTCAACTAGTCGAGCTGGCTGGTTTAATTCAATAATAATAATAATAATAAAAGACTGCACTAATTTTATTCCTTTGAAAAGAAAAATGAAATAATTGTAAGAGAGAAAATGGAATACGACACCGTCTTGGTTTGGGTAGAACGACCCGTAGTCGATAAAACGGCAGAGACTACTCTACGAAGCGCAAACCCTAATTTCCTTGCAGCCCTTATTTAAGTTGTTTTAGTTAAGCCTCAAATTGGCGGCTCTCACAGCACTGTTGGCTCAGACTTCCCTCACTCTCTTCGTTTTCGATTTCCAATTTCGCTCCTATTGATCAACGCTTTTTTAATAGATATTGAAAAGCGTTGATGAAGAAGATTCATATCCACGACATTTTATTTTTGAATCCATCGAGGCCATTGTTTGATTTCATGAAATTCTATTTTTCTTTTTTTCGTGATTTGTTCGTGCTTGATGTAGTGCATCTGTTTACCCTCTCCAACTGTGTTGAACTTTAATGCCAGTGGAGATATAACTGATGCAGAGATTGAAAATGGTTGGCTTACCAACCCATTGCACCAATTTTCAAATTGCCATGGGTCAAATGGATCGACCGAAATACAAAACAACAAAAAGGATAAGAAAAATTCGTTTTGCAAATAGAAAATTGGCAGCTGATGATTACATTTGAAACCGCTTATTGATATACTGATAAGCTGTGCTGAACACAAACTCCACTTATCTGATGCCATTTTACTTGTATTTTTTTTCAATGTTTCTTCTATGTTGTGTCTCTTACTATTATGATTTAGGGTTGGCAAATGATGTTAAAATTTCTTATCCTACACACTGAATAATTCTGTGAAGATCAAAAACTCCGCTTATTATCTGATGCCTTCCCTGTTTTAACTTTGCAAATTAATGTTACTTTTGATTGTATCTTGTGTTTGCGTTGAAAAACTGTTGCTGATTTGCCATAGCTATTGTTTAACTCATCAATGATGAAGAAAAGCAGACGGGCGGACTGAACTGATGCCATGTTGATTGTCTGCCATTTCCAAATTTGGAATGTCTCTGAGATGCAATTACATTATGTTTTCTTTTCAATTGCATTCCCCATATACGATTGATTGTTGTAGTTTATTAGTTTTTTTTTCTGGCAACTGGCATTCTTGGGTTTGTTGGGTGTTGTAAGGTGTAATAGTTCTGCAATGATGAAGTTGCATAAATATATGTCTGGACATATGAAATTTTCTAATGATATCATTTGCTTCTTCTGAGCAGAATTATCAATCGCTTGTTCTGAAGTTATTTTGACATCTGGGTGTTAGATAATTGCTGTTTACTGGATCTAATTTTACTTAATGGGATTTCTCCCTTGGACAGAATTTCATGTTTATTGCAATGTTTTTCCAAGATTGGCTTGGAAACCTGCAATTGCATATTGCTATTTTTTGTGTTTATTTCTACGATATGATCATGTTGTCTGTTCATTTTACCATCCACCAAACAAGAGCATACGTTTGTCTTTGTGAAATAGATTGTGTATTTTCATTTCATATATGGGCGATATCAATGACTGTTTGGTGCTAGGAAATGATTTGTTTTCATTATGATTCTTGTTTTCAAAAGTTTGTGTGTCAGTATTTACTGTTTTTTATTCAAAATTTAGAAAACAGGAAACAATAATAAAAATAAGGGAACGCATATATAATTTAAAATAAAAACAAAAATTCAAAATTAAGAGAATGTTTGTTTCTATAAAGACTTTTCCTTTTAAAAACAAAAAATATACTTATTTTTTATTTTATAAAGGTAACTTTTTAAAAATAAAATAAAAAATGCTCTAACATTTTCAGAAACTAATTTCATTTCTTATGGGTTTTTGCAGGTATGTATTTTTTTACTGATGTGTTAACAACACATCACAGATTTCTCACTATTACATTAATCCTTAACGGCAAATTGGTTTTAAAAACCTCATAGGCATAAACAACTTTATTCCAGAAAAACATAGCATACACCAAAGGCCATCTGCGTTGTCTCAGCTTCGGACTTTCTAATCATGACCTTGATCGATGGTATATCCCTTTCTGTGAATGTACAAGTGAAATGTCTATTTGGACCCAGAAACGTGAAGGTGAAAATACTATTGTGGATGTTGAATGCACAACACATGAAAGGCTTCTACTTGATTAAATCACCTTGTGCCGGATTTAATATATGTGGAGATTGGCTTATAATCTACAGTTTCCTGTCAAGCTGGTTGTTTTATCTCGCAAATTTGTTGTCTCCTTCGTGGTTCTCATAGTATTTGAATAACCATTACTTTGAACAAAATGGTGCAATGTTGGACTGGAATTGCACCAGTATCTTTTAAAGAAACGCTCCACATACTTCTTTAAGGATTATTATGTTGGCCCTTGTCCAATGACAAAGAGGCTCCAGGTTTGTACAAAACACGATAGTCTTTATTATTATTCACTCAATGGAACTGAACCATGGAAACAATACTTGCTAATGATTAGTGTATAAATCTCTTACAGTGGCATCAACCCAAACAATTTCTTTGTTAATCATGTTTTATAAAGGCAATAACATTAAAGAAAAAAAGTTGTAGAGGAGATAAAAGAGGCTCATGCAGAGAAAAAAAAAGCATTTTTAAAGTTATTTCTATAATAACAATATCCTTAAAACTATTGTTCTGTTTTAATATTTTTTGTCACATCACAAAATATACAGCAGTAATATTTTATAATAATACTTGCTCGGGCAACGATACTTGGTATATAAAGAGAGACTAGTATCTCCACTTTGTGAACATATGCTATGAAGCACTCCTTTATCCATTAGGTAATTACTTTGAATATTTAAAATTATGAATTTAAAAAAAAATTAAGATTCTGAATTTTTTTTAAATTAAGATAAAGAATTATAAGAATTAAATTTTAATTGTACTATTAATTGTTAGCAAAAAAATATTTATAATAAGTTTAATTGAAATTTTTATAAAATACAAATTAAATTTTTAAAATAAGATTAAGTTAAAAAAAATAATTGTAATAAGTTTAGTAGATATAATAGACTTAAAAAGTGAAATTAAATATAATTATTTGACTTATTAAAATTAGGAATTTTAAAAATAATATTAGAAACTGTAAAATATTTATTTTAATTTTTGTATTAATTATTACTAAAATTAATATTAAATATTTTAAAAATTTATAATCTTAAATAATTTTTAAATTCATGTCACGTATCTAACATTTCAAAAGTTTGTCTCTAATCTAGATATACATGTCTTATCTTTTAACTATGTGTCATGTGTTATTGTTGAAGTAAATATTATTTTAAAATATTTTATTTTTATTTAAAAATTATAAAAATTATGTCGTCCATGAAAAAAAGGTCAATCTTTTAAAATGTATTTTAAAATAAAAAGCCAATCTTTCTTTTGAGTTAATAAAAAAATAAATAAGGAGAAAAAAAAATGGAGTGATTTTTATTTAACCAAAAAATATAATTTACCAAAAAACAACGTAGGGATAGAAGTATTTCAAGCTTTTTTAGCGTTTAAACATAATGCTTATAAATTTGAATTTTCACTTAAAATGTTTAACGTTGAAAACCTTAATGATATAATGTTATTAGGCTTTATTGGGAACGGTTGAAATACTGTTAATAATAAGGGTAAAAGTGAAAAAGTAGGACAAGAGTTTGCGATTGAAGAATGATGGCAAAGGCTAATATTAAGAACTTGTACATATCTAAAGACTAGGTACGACAAAAGGACATTGTGCATGCATTGAAAATAATTGAAGCAAAATGGGAAGAGAAAAAACCCTATGAAGTCAGCAACATGTGTTCTGGGTAGCACATTCACAAAGTTTGAAAGATTTTGGACTATGGGAATATGCAGCGAAATAGAGTCTTGTCAAGTCAATTAAGGATAAAGGTTTTTTTACTGAGCATCACTTTGACCTTTTTGTGTATCAAAAGGATACCTAAAAAGAAAATGCAGAAGTTGACCCACGAGAATAATAATGTTCATAAAAGTTGAACAATGGGAATGACAAAAACTCTTATTATATAATTAACGAGCATTGTATTAAGGGAGGAGCTATAGAGATGAAGCAAAAACTTTTTCTCTCTTTCATGTTTTGATACTTTAGAAGTTGGATAATCTTCCCTAGAGAGTAGAAAAGAAGAATGAAGGATTTCTTCTCAAAAGACATTCTCACAAGTGTACTCCCTAAGTTCACATACACAAAGTGCAACATAAAGATAAATTATGAAGTATGGACACTGCAAAGCACAAGGGAGCATATTTGGATAATAATTTCTTGGTATGCTTGAGTGAAAAAATAACACTCAGACGAAACTGAGAGAGCACTCTACTAAATAAAAATCCATAAACAATATTTTGCTTGGAGGGCTTTCAAGCGTAATTTCTCTAGTAAGGGTGTTTTACGCCTTGAAAAGGAGGTAGCGGTCACTTTTGGGTGTAGGTTACATCTCGCAGCATTAAACAACCTATTACAAGAATAAGACATGTTGAGAGTTGGGATAAACTCGTTCCACCAGAAAAATACCTACACTCGCCTAGTTCACCCATACAAGTTAAGCGTCTATAAGCTCTCATTTATTATTGTGTACTTTATAAGTTTATGAACATTTCTCTTATCAAAATTTAGTTTCAAAACAGGCTTCTTCAAAAGAAAAAAAAAAGCTTCTTTTCTTGCCTTATGTATTATTTAATGAAATTAACCTTTCTTTCTTTCTTTTAATTTTTTTTTTTTGGATTTAAATGTGGAATTAAACCAACTTGTAGCATTTATAAATGAGCAAGCATTAGACAACGTAAACATGACGTAGCTCTTAGCATGACAAGGTTTGGAACACGAAACCATCAAAGTGCCACCCAATAGGTAGTAATGACCAAATTATGGACACACCTCTCCACGCCCATATAATTCCACCTACTTCGGTCACAATTATCTATGGGTTCAGAACCAATCCAGATCCTCTACAATTTTAGCGGTAACTGCAGCCTGCAGTGTAAATTCGCTTAAGCAAATTTTGTTTCACTTAAGCCAAAATTGTGAAAAAATTTAAAACTGTATCTCCTTCTCTAAACTATAGAAATTTAGAGAAATTTTTGTTTCTTATCAATAACTACTTAGTTACCAAAGACTTTTACATATGTCATCCCACTAAATTTTCTAAATATATTATCTAGTGTTTTACTTATGTTAAGCATGAGTGAGGTAGAACTATTTGGAATTGAGTTAAATTGTTAAAAATGATAATAAGAATTATAAGAATGATGACTTTGAGAAATTTGTTGAAAAATAATTGACCACATGATCTACTACAAAGTTTCTCAAATTTTGTGTAGTTTAGAGAGGAAGATGAAATTTTGAAATTTTTCACAATTTTAGCTTAAGCAAAGCGAAAATCACTTTATGTCAAATTCGCTTAAACAAATATTTTTAGCTTAAGTAAAAATCATTTTTTTGCCAAATTCATTTAAGCGAATTTAGACTACAGGTTGTAGTTCACACTTAAATTGTAGAGGATCCAAATCCATTTGGAACCTCTATTTTTACGCCAAGATAAGGATTAAATATATATGTACATAATTTTTACTTTAAGTTCAATGTAATATTATTTTTTACATTAAATTTATACTAAAATTACGTTAATACATTGTTCAATTTTTATATAAAAAAATATCTTTATTTTTTGTCTTAATTATAAAAAAAATAAAAATTCACTTTTATATGCATTAATTATTTTATATATTTATTTATCATGAGATTTATATTAATGAGCCATAAACTTATTACTCTTATTGTTAAATATATTAATTTATTTAACATTAAAAATTGAATTTTTCATTTTTTAAAGATAAATAATAAATAATTAAAAAATTTATTTATTTATTTACTAAGTAGAGGAGCTAAAGCCCAAACAAAAAGCATTAAGATTTATATTTAGTTGATCAAATGACACATGCATCTAGACAACGAAAATGATACAAAGAAGGGGGATTATCAAAACAAATCAAGGGAATACAATCATCTACATTAAGCTTAGCAAGTCAATCAACATATTGATTTGCTTCTTCACAAATGTAGTTAAATCTAACAAATTTAATTTTTTTCAGCAGGGCTCTAATATCATATAGAAGAGAAGCAAAAGGATGTGAGCAAGATTAAATATTCAGAACAAGAGATAAAATTTCTTTGGAGTTGTTAAGAGAAAAAAAATTGAATCTGTGTGTTT